TAATGTAAATGTTTAAATTTTAAATTAAATTTTAATTAAATAAAATGACATTAAAAATTAAAAATTTATTAAAAATTCAAATTAACATTAATGTATACTAATTTTTTAAAATAAAATATTATTTAAAAAAAAAAAGGTGTGAAGCACCAAAAGATTGGATACATTAACTTTAGAAATTTAAAAATAAAATTTCCTTTTTTAAATTGGTTTATTATCAATAATTTTTGCCTTTATTCAGAAAATTGAAAGTTGAGAGGAAGTAAGCGAGCATCGGAGGATTCGGAGCATCTCTCTTTTACTTTTTCAAGTCCACGTGTCCAATACTTGTTTTTAGCCCGTACGGCCATCCCATCGAAAGCCGTAACACAAACAATTCTCTCTTTGGTTGCACTGTTCGGAGAAGAGGAGTATCAGCGATGGCCGATAAGCCGAGCCGGGCTCTGGTGTTGTACGGGGACGGACTGGCCCGTTTCATACAATCATCACATACCCATCTCCACTCTCTCGCTTCTAAAGCCAACTGCGGTTTCCTGAGCCTCCCTAATGCTCCTTCTTCAGGTATTCCTTCTCTCCCTTTTTTTTGTTATGTATGAAGAACCAGAACCTATTCAGAAAAATCTTAGATTTCTTTAATGTCTTTCTACTTATCTTTTTCCTTTTGATTGTTTTGGACAGGCAGAATTAAACTTTCCCTTTTTCTTTTTTTTTTTTGGCAATCGGGTTCAAGTGACAATGGATTAATTAGTTAATATGTTTTTGTTTTCCAATTGGTTCTTAGAGCTCTCACAGCTTGAATTGGGGGAGGAGGGGTGTTAATGATCTAGCGTCTCTTAATGCTAAAGTATATATTCTTCTTTTCTGGATGCCTTACCTTTTGGGATTGATAGAATGTGTTCAACTGTTCATGGGTCCTTTGTTAGATTTAGATTTTGCATGTGTAATTAGAGATTTAGGTGTCTGCTCCTGTCTTTATTTGAAGTATCAAATTAACACAATTGATTATGTAATGGAAAGAATGCATACCTCTTTACCTTGTTCTTAGTGTCTAGAGACAGTCATCTCTGGTTGAATACATTAGTTGAAGTACCATGACCTTCAAATGGTTTTTTGTTTCCCAATTTTGATTCATCATTGTTTTAGCATTTCTTACTGCCTTGTCAACCTATTTCTCAAAGTTGTTCCATTTATTGTATGGGGATTTACTTGGATTTAGATTGCAGAATGTGAGGATGAGAGGGTCGTTAGAGAGTCTGCAGTACTATTGGATGCATGTGAAGCTTATCTTAATAAGGTGAGACACATAGTATTTGTCTGGGAATTAAAAATTGCACTTTCACTTTGAATACTTATTCTCTTTGGAATCGACAGAATGGGGAACATTTAAATGAAGCAGACCATCAGAAGTCACCCTTGATGCCAACCATTTCTGACAGGTATTTATTAATTTGGTTTGTGATTAATTTTTTTTCAGCAATATTGAGTATACATCACTGTACATACTTTTATTCCTCAGGTTTATGGGAATGAGAGCTGCTTTGTTAACAAATAATTCCAGTTTGGAATCTTTTAGTGGAAAACTTGGTTACAACGTGTTGCCACTGAGTGGGTCATATGACAATAACCATTCTCCTTCTGAATTACGAGTTGATACTCTGACCTCTGAATTGCTGAAGTTGCTTGGATTTGAAGAAGGGAAGACATTGGAAAGAAGTCAGTTTGATTTTGTATTTGTGCACATTGGGGCTGGAGAGAATATAAATGATGGGAAAGGTGGGGCGACTGCTGGTGATGTGGAATTTGTCAACGCTTTGGTTGGTTGTATAATGGATGTGGCTCAACCTGGAAGTAAAATTGCCTCTCGACTGCACTTGTCTGTTGTGATGAGCTATGGGCATGTGTCAGAGGATAGTGACCCCAAGTTGTCAGTTTTGATACCCAAAGATGAGAAGAATTCTCATCTTTGGGAACTCTACCCTCGTCAAAGTTACACCATGAGAGGAGAAAATCCACGAAATGATGTTAGGTATGTTAAATTAACTAATTAAGTGCTGCTTTTCAAAATAATAATAATAATAATAATAATAATAATTAAGTGCTTTCATGTTTCATAACTTACATAGACAATCTTTATGGCTTCAGTTAATTTGTTGTTAACAACCCAACAGGCACTATGGTCCCATGTTAATTGCTCAGTGGCAGCATGCTGTGACCCGCAAGGATATGGCAGATACATTTTCTTTTGAAGATTTTAAAAAGGTATGTATTGAAATTATCAGCTGTTTTAGAAAGTGCTAGTAATAACACCATAAGATTTCAGATATGATGTAGACGTCATTAACTGGTGCCTTCAGACAACACTTTTTTGAAATTTGCTTTGGGTATATGGTTCTTTAGTTTCAAGGTCCTCTGCACATAATCAGAGAATTTGTTGTGTGGGAACATGACACTTTATATCTATTTCAAATTGGATACTACTTGGTGGAATGCATAATTCTTCCAGAATTTTGTTACTGATTTTTCTAGTGTTGTTTGTAGCTGAGCATTTTGTAAACAATATATAAGCTTCTTCTATTTTGTTGCAGCATGGTGGAAATCTCACCATACCAGCTGATAGGTTTCTTCATGAGATAGCATTCAAGCTGTGGAAGGCCCCTAAATATGGAGCATGAGAAGGTTCCTTACCTATAGTTGTGCGAAATAATGTTCACCTTTTCCTTCAAGCATAAATGATGAGCTAAGTGAAGGAGCTTGTCTTGAATGTTTTTGTACTTTGGTATGTTTCCTAAATATTGTTTCAATTGATCTTCTCACACACCAGGGGAATCCAATGTATTTGTGACGATTAAGCGGCCAACCAATGGATTTTATTACGATTTGGCATTTTGCTCTAGTAGATTATGTTTTTGGTTCCTCTTAATTCCCATTTCAGTCATTATTTTGCATACAACCTCCTCACCCATTATTGTGAGTTCTTTTCTTTCTGATTCTATACAGTGCCTACCACTTGTTCTGATACATTCCTGTGATCTTATTCAATCCAGAAATTCAAAATTAAAAGTTTTGCACAAACTGCGTTGAGAACATGGGCTGGGGTAAAATTTTGGCGACAAATTCAAAATCTGCTTTGTATTGGGTTGCTGATACGCTTTGGAATCAAATTAAATGTAATGAATTTGAGCACCCCTTGTACACACATCAATAAATTGATTGTTGCTGAAAAAAAAAAATTGCCTACCACCTAGTGAACTCAATGGCAATCTCTTTTCCAAATGAAGCAAAGATGTAAAATTGAGTTGCATGAGATACAAGTGAAGTGAATTAAGGAATAAGAGAGGGGGTTACCTCTTATCATATAACCTCAAATATCCAATTAAATATAAAAAAATAAAAAGAAGAAAAAAAATAGAAAAGGTAACTAAGTGGCTAGAAAAGCCTGAAATTCTTCTACAAAGTTCCATGACTTTTGGCCCTGTGTACGTTTGATAATGACCTAATAGGTAAAGAACTCCATCGCGAAATCAAAACATCAAATTGTTCAAATGGAATGTTCAATTTCCTTTTGAGAACAAATTTGCAATTCAGTGTTTCTAATGCTGGGGGCAGGGGCTATCTTACATTCTTACATTTTGGCATCAGCCACCTCCCTCAATGGGAAACTATTCAAGTTCTCTATCAGGTTGGGTATCAACTCTGATCAACCCAAGCTTCTTTCAACTAACAAAATTAAACAAATGGTAGAGCTCTAGTATTCTAAGATGTTTTTGAAACAGTAAGTACCCAACAAATACCATGCCACAAGAAGCAGAGAGAATGAGAACAACCCTATCAAGAATGGCCACCCCACCAGTGTTACACCCAGACAGAGCACCACTATGAAAGGGAGGAATGATCTTATGACTGACATGGCATCAACCCAATGTGCCTTAAACAAGAATAGAACTGCCAAATTTACCATGTTCCAATCCATTGATCCATCATAGCAGAGCCGATTTAGACAGTTGGCAACAAACAAGTAGCTGTTACAAGTGAAAAGGTTATAGGTTCTATGCTCAAAATTATGCATGCTTAGCAGCAGGGCATCATCCCATGTGATTGCAGGCCCATAATCTGCATGCCGATAGCCATTCTTGCATGTATGCCCAGCTAGATTTCGGGGGAAGCAACACTGGTTCCAGAAATAAAAATATGATAGTCAATGGATCAACTAGGTACAAACAGAGAATAGAAACACAATAGAAGTTGAGTTCAGAAGCAACCATGAAATAGTACCTTTTTTCTGTCTAGTTGCAGAAATTTGGCTGGAGCACCAAAAGCAAAATCATCAATGTTCACAAAATTTGATCCTGAAAAGTCCAAGATAGCTCCATCTTCCCTGCAAATGCCAACATGTCCAATGAATGGTGCCAACCATGAGACAACTGGAAGTGGTGTCCAAACTAAACAGCATGGAAACTTTGCCTTCTTTGGATCAATTTCCTCTAATGGCCACAGGTCATACTGAACCTTAGATGATGTAGATATCATGCGTTCAATGTCATATGCTGCTTTTCGATCCATTGTAGGAAGTCTTCCACAGGGCATGCGGCTTTGTGCTGTTTGTGGTGTCTACCCTGACATTACGTGCTTCAGTCCACCTGGAAAGAAAATTCATTATCTTATTACAGAAAAGACATTCTCATTCTGCAAGAAACACGTAGCTATGAGTACTTTAGAAACGACAAGAATATATGATGATAACACGAAAACCCTAATACCCCATGCAGGGAAATACAAAATTCTTATCGAAATTGCCAAATGCCAGGGTGTTTATTAACTATTTGAGATAAATAATTAACACTTTTCAATTAAAACTACAATTTATGCACTGAAATGACCATATTTACCATACCTCTTTCCTTTTTCCTTGATTGATATTCCAACACGTAAATGGTAACAAACAATTTTTCTATCTTAGAAATGAGGCACACATCTTTAGTCAGCCAACTAAACATCTAATGTTATTGTATGTTGGACACTAGACAGCAGGGTATCTAACCTGATACGACTTAAGAATGAGATCCAAAATAATCCATACATTAAATAAGATCCATAACAAGTTAAGAGGACATGCCAGTAGATTCATGAATCCTATCCCTAGTATATAACCGTTCCCTTGTTTGTCCACACGTTCATTACCACAAACAATGAAGGACACCTACCAACCTCATTTGTCCAGCTATTGTCTAAAAACAGCCATGACGACAAAGATGATATCATAGAAAACTTGCAATCATAAAACAGGCTAAAGAAAAAGATGTAAAAAGTTTCATAAATCCTGTCTATTAAAAAGCTCAAACAGCAGGTACAAATTTTTACGCCTTCCACGCAAACCTAATTAATTAGATAAAAGCAAACTGAAAGAGGAATGCACTTATCGTCTCAATTGGCAAATGCAAAATGAAATCTCTGAATCTAATTGCATTTGAGGTTGATAAATTCTTAAGCCAGCATTTCCCAACAATGACATGCAGTAGAAATCAACTCTTCTATACCTCCTTCACTTCAGAAAGCTATTTCATCCAAAATTCCTCATACCTTATTGAAACAAGGTATGTTTTCCCTTACTATCTCAACAATCAAACAATAGCAATCCATTAAAAACAAGAAATCAAGACATCAGGTTCTTTTTCCTTAAAACAAAGTAGAATTTGACTCCTAATCAACTCAAAACACTCTCCAAATTCCATCTCCGTATACTTACTTCCAGCTGTTCTACAGAAAATCAACCAAAACCAAGCACGATTTCGTAACACATTCAAAGAAAACGCAATCCAAACTACAGAATGCGTTTCAATCGAAAGAAAGAAGGTAAAGAATTCAAGGAAAACGTAAAGATTGACAAATTGTAGAATAAAATTGACCTGCAAGAGAAAGCGGCCGTGAGTCCTCGGCTCTGACGAAATAAAAAAATCCGGCGAACAGAAACCGAACGGAGATCCTAGAGTTCGATCAAGAATTTAAAAAAAAAAAAAGAAAAGAAAGTAGAATGAAGAAGAAGAAGAAGAAGAAAAACGCTTTAGCTTTCGCTTTCGCCTTAACGAAAGTTGGTGAAGTTCATTGTTGGGATGAAACCAGACCGATTTGATGCATGCTACCGATTGATGTTTGGAGAAAAAATTTATTTTTCCGGATTTTAAATGAATTTATTTTAGTAATAATATATTTCATTTGCGGGGAAATATCTCAAACTTTGAGGAGATGTCAGAGGTTCATGAACCAACCCGGATTTTCCACTACCAGGTGGGGCCCCTCGCCTCCTCGCTTGTTATAACCACCTTCCCATATTTCTAAATCTAATAAAATATAATATAATTTGATTCAAGAGTAACGTTTAATTTTAGAAGAATTTGGTATGGCTGATTGAAACAATTAATTCACGATTTTAATGTTTTCGTGTAATTTCAATTTGCCTAACAATTTTGAGGTTTACATATTACTTAAATAATTTAATAATAATTTTTTTATTAAAATTAAGAGTTTTTAAATTTAAATTACATATATATAAATAGAAAAAAATAAAGAATAAGGAAAAATTGATTTTTCATTGTATAAACAAAATTAAAAAAATTTTAAAGTTTTGTTTAGCTCAACATGAAGTGATTAATCATTAATATAATATAATATAATATAATATTTTATCTTATAATTTACTTTATGACATATTATAAAATTAAGACTATAAAAAAGGGAGAGGAAACGCAACATTAAGGGGTCCTTCCCTTCAATAGTCTTAATCTTCTAGTATAGAACAGGGGTAGATTATAAGGTAGTTTTTCAAATAAAATAAATGTTATTAACAATTAACTTCAAATTATTAATCACTAATTTTAACTGATTTTGAAGTCAGGTGGTGGTTTTAGAGACACGACGCCACAGTTTCAAAATTGTTCGTTTAATTTCTGTTTAAGTTCACGTACTGAAGGATGAATTCATGTGATGGTCATTAAAGACATGACGCCACACCAGGAGTTTTTGCATTCGACATAAAAAACGGGAAAAAGAGAAACCCTTCATGTTACCTTTTGCTCTCAAACAGAACTAGTCCATCTCTCATGAAATCAGAAATTCAGAGTGGAATTTGGGTGCGGCACCAAGAGGTAAGAAGAAGGTTACAAAAAGGTGAAAACCTACTAACTACCTGTTAATCTAAGTAGAAAAAAATCGATTCTCCTTAAATAATATCTCAAATTTGAGTGTTATGAGTAAAAAAACAAGTAATGAGAGAACTATCACTTAATTAAATCCAAAACAATTCGATTTCGGATTAGTTAGAATTCAATATGTTTATCAGATACTGAAAAATTAGTATAAAAAAAAAAAGTGAAAAAAACCATTCCCTCATGCTTTTATCTGTGTATCTATTGGGTAGAACATAGGAAATGATGATATACAATATCTACTGAGTACTTACGGAGAACAGGCAGATTTAACCAAGTAACTATACATCAAAGAGACAAAGGATCTTTCATGAAATATTTAGTGGACTTTACATAAAAACATGAATGTGTCAAGAGCTGTTTAAAGACTTATGGGAATAATGGGTTCGCCATGGAATGCATCTGGCCTGAATGTTCTTGCAGAATCTTCGTTGTAAACTCCAGGAATAGCTCTACCCCAGGCTTCTTCGGAAAATATGGATGAGAGTTTCTGGTCTCCCTCAATGTTTACAAGGAGAAGAATGGATATAAACAAGGATGCTGCAAGAGTAACCAGGGAGTATTTTAATCTGCTCAGCACAGGCTTAACCTGTAAAAGAGTAAATTACAGAATCATGCCCATGACTCAGTGAAGTACATAGGTTTCCTCTAGCACATTCCTTAAGAGTTCCTAGCCAATGAACTAAATAGCATTGCCTATTTGATAGGGGTTTGGCTAGGAATATTGCCAGAAGTTGAATGAGATTGACAAACATCTTCCAATTATTTCTTTCTAAAGAAGATAGTGGATATAGGCTAAAGTAAACCTTTCTTAACAAGTTATTTTATTCATCAGCTATAGAAAAATTAGTTAACAATCCTCATGTTCCTCTCTCTAAATATGGTTAAATGGGTCTGGCAGCCAAGGCCAGTAAGAAAGAGTAAAGCAGGGAAAAGGTTTATGGTTCAATATAGAATACTCACTGAAAATGAACCAAGAAGTCTGTCACGTGCCAAAACTTCAGCAGTCTTCACCCATATCTGTTCAGGAATATTTGTATCAGTCTCCAACACTGCATCTGCATATCTTTGTGCAACTATGATGACTAAAAAGCAAAACCTCTCTGTGACTAACAAACTCACACTTCAAACATTATGAATATAGAATTTGAAACATGAAGTCAAGATGGGTTCTAATCCTCTAAACGTATCAAATGACAGCTCTCTTGAGAAAGAATCCATGCAGCATAAAGTTTCAAAATACAAGAAGCTGTTAGCCGTTTCACGTCTATTTGGTCAGCCAAAAGAGAAAAGAAGCTGCATCACTTCTATTATGATGAATGGGTTTTTAAAATAGTGAATTATTAGATCCATGCATGGGATAAAGGAAAGGCCTTACAAGAATCCCATGGCACATGTGATTCTTTTATATTTAGAAACCAATAACATACAGCAAGGAAAAAGCAAAAAAATTAAGGCTTCATTTAGCATTGCTGTTGTTTCTGGTTTTGCAATTTGATTCTACAATATTTAGAAACCAATACCATATATAGTAATTCTAGTCCCTAATTATGGTAATAGTAACAAAAAACAGCAACTATAGCCTCGGATAACTTGTAATTTCAAAACTAGACTCAAGCAAACAGTGATACATCATAATGCAGTTATGGCTGTTTTGGACTCATATATTGGCTTAAAATCTTAGGGGTGGCATTCATATACAGAAACTCAACAGTATCTTATTTCCCTTCTAATACTTAAGATAAGGTGAGGCAAAGATCATACATTTATAAAACCTACTGCTATTTGCTATGAAATGAATGATTGAAAGTTGCATTTGTTTATACAACCAAAAACATCATGAAGAAAAGCAAGAACCAACTCATTCAACTAAAGATTTCAGAACAATATAATCTGAAATTAATAATACCTGTCCATCGTACCATCCAGTCTCTTCATCTAAAGGCATGAAAGAGAAGAAGAAAATAGTGAGGCATCAAGCAAGCAAATCAAATTTATTGAGAATTGATGAAACAAAACCTTTGCATACAGATACAGTGAAGAAGAGGAATGACAGCAACTCACATTCAACGGTGGCACTGAGCAAGCGGTTCCCAACATAAGCCCAACCCAGATACATCCTCAGAACGGCAATAGTGACGAAAATTATCCCACTGGATACGGCCGCGAGAATCCGCTTCAGCGGCTCGTTGTCCGCTCCCACCGCCCCGAACCAGGATACGGGGAGACCGATGAAAAGAGCGAAGGAAGCGCCGGTAACGAACAAGCGAGAGCAGTACTCGACAAGATCACCAGAGGCCCAAGAGAAGGGGAAGGAGGTGGAGAGAGATTGGTACTCGTTAATGGGCTGCTGCTCCCACGGAACAGGGCACTCTGTCTCTGGCAGTTGCGGGGTGTTGCTCCCGTTCCCATTTCGATACGATGAGGGTATTCTGGGAGTTCGATTATTAGGCCGGTAACGCTCGCAAGGAAGAAATCTGGGTTTAGTGAAATGAATGGCCGGTGAAAGGAAGCTAGGTGCGGCGGCTGCGGCGGTGGCAGCGGCAGGTGACGGCGACGGTTTTGTCGAGAGGCGGAGGAGGACGGTGGCCATGGGTGTAGAATTGTAATCAGTTGACTCAGTTGTGCTAATCCAAGTCCGAACTGAGATTTTTCTGATTTTGTTTTTATTTTCAATTATTCCGATAATGAAAATGACAATACAAAACAAAAACACGATAGCAAGCAAGTCCTTTGTACTTTTGCTTTTTGTTTCCAAGAAGGGCTGCGGAGATCAGATGTTTACAATTCCAGGGCTGGGATTTTTGTCTTACCCAAACAGGGACCTCCGCAGACATTTGAACATGAAAAAGAGTCTTATTATTTTTCCTTTCCTTTTCTCTTAGTTTTTCCTTCCTTTTCGATTCTACCTATTTGTAACACTAAAAACAACATTTCAAATGGTATCCTCCACTGCTCTTGTGCAGTTGCCTGATTAGGAGGAAACCACTGTACTCCCGAACGGGTAGTGTTGATCCCCCACTTCGAATGAGCCAACACTTCCCACGCTCCTTTCTTCTAACTTGGATTTGCATATCAATGGAAAAACTTCCGCCTACCTTCCCTGGCTCTTCGAGCCAAGAAGCAGCTTCAAGAATACTTATTACAGCAACACAAGGGTTGATCACTCTATATTTTGATTTGCAGAGTTCGATCTCTCAAGGAATTTATGTTGAAGATGTCGCAGCTGAAACATGAGTTGTGCAAAGGATGGCCGTAGATGTGGTTCCCTACAAAAGTAACAAGGATTAGTTCGAAAGTGCATGATTAAAGCAACCTCAATTGTTTGGGCGATTAGTAAAGTGTCATCTTGTCATGAAAGCTTAAAACTGAAATTAATGTCTTTGCCTGATTGTTGTTAATGCAAACAAAATTTTATTGCCATATTTACAGGGAGACAGCATTAAACTTACGTTTGCCAACATTCACGTATTATTTGTGCAACTGCTGGATCAACATTATCTGGAATTTCAAGCCGCCTGTTCTGGAATCCAACAGCTCCAACAACCTGCATTGGGTTCAATCCTTTCCAAGGGATGCGTAGAGTAACCAGCTCCCATAATATCACACCAAAGCTGTACACATCACATCTGCAAGTAGACAACCCAATTGTTAGAGCAAGGCTGATAGGAAGTCCCTGTAACAAGGCATGCAAGAAACATTGATGCATACATGACTTCATTGCACTCGTTTGACTGTGCCTGTGTTATGTTAAAAGTTAAAATCACTTACTTCTCATTGGCTGGTTCATTCCTCAAAACTTCTGGTGCCATCCATTCAGGCTGCAGTCAAACAGCAAAACTTGTTCTTTATATAAAGATGATGACTTAATTTCAGTAAGGAGAGTAAAGGTAGACTAGAAACAATATCTTCTTAGAAATAGAATACTACCGTTCCTGCAGTAGACTTAGAAGACAGAAAAGTGTGGTGCTTCATGCGAGACAACCCAAAATCACAGACCTGCATAGAGAAACAACAAGATGTCAGAAGAGTCAACAGATTTCAGTCAGACTGTCAGCAGAAACAAAAGCAAATTCAAAACAAATATAAAAGGGAAAATAAACATAATCATGGAAGTTATCCCAAAATTGTTGAGCTAAACACCTTTACAACCCAGTTCTTGTCAACAAGGAGATTTGGAGACTTCAGATCCCGGTGCACAATGGGAGGATGGCTTGTGTGCAAGTAATTCATCCCTTTTGCCTGCAAACAATTACAAAACTTTGCTTAAACAGAAGATCCCAATTAATAGAAGATGGGACAAAAGGATGGGCAATATATGACAAACAAAATCTTTTCTTTTGTGATTCATACCACATCAAGAGCCATTCGCATTCGCCTCCGCTCATCAAGTTGTGGATTAGGTCGGTGAAGTAGTTTATATAAACTCCCCCTGCATACCAAAAAGACACACAAAGAGGAGAATAAGACTGGAAGGCCAAACCAATCCTTTTCAGTTTCTGGTAGTAGAAACTAGAGAGCAAGTGATTTCTCTTAAATCGCTTGCTCTCTAGTTTACTATTTTTATTTGTGACTATAGAACTACAAATATCACGGTTACTATTTTCATTTCTGCACATTAAGTTAGTAACAGGCATGATGGTTAGTAACTGCATCACAAGGATTCAAAGTACTTTATTTTATTTTATATTTTATGGGATTCACTCTTTAAAACCCAATGTAAGCTAACATAAATTCTGCAATTCCAGGGAAATAAACCTAGACAAAATAGAACAGTAAAGAGGGAAATAATCCTCTTAGTGAAGGTGGAAAAGGCAAAGTTGGCATTCAACCATAATTCCATTTCCATCAGCACAAAATAAAGCATACAATTGAAGGTTAATTTACTAATTTAATGAAATTTGTAAAAATAAGAAATCTTTCAATTCTGCAAAGAAAACCAACCTGGGAAGAAACTCTATCAGTATAGATAAATGTGGGGAGCGGGTAACAGCTCCCATGAAAAGAACAACATTCGGATGCCTCAACCTTAACATGATTTCAACCTGCAGAGGATCACAATACAGGCATCTCCAATTCAGAACACTGGGCTTACAGAAAAGGAAAAGAAATAAACATTAAGACGTCATCATGAAATCAATTTCTGGTGCATACCTCGCATTTGAACTGAACCAATGCATCACCAGAGAAGTCTTGATCTAGAAACTTCTTCACAGCAACCTCCTGTGGTCCAAAAAGGAAAGGGGAAAAATATGTAAAAATGTTAGAACCCATTAAAGACTCTCTGAAACAAGCTACATGATATCACCAATTAATACTTTAATAACAATTTGATAGGAGACTGGTGTGGATGGTCATATTAAATATTAATGAAAAAGGTAAGAAGAATTTCATGATTTTCACAAGCTAACAACATATTACAACAGTTAAATTCATATATTCTTCTAAACTTGTTCTTTTCACTTTCTTTTTTTTTACTTTGGCAAAAAATGCAGGGCAATGTTAAGGGGTATTCTGGATCTAGTACCATAAGCATACTCATCATTGAGTATCATAAAACATTATGCACGTGTTATAACTTCTGAAAAATAAAACATTAAGTAATATAGGCAAATAATGAATTAAAAATATTACTCACAGTGCCATTCCAATCTGCACGATAAACCTCACCATAAGATCCTGCAAGAAAAGAGTTCATGAGTATACTAGTATGGCAATTCCACATTTGAGCAAGCATCACCAGTATGTCACTCTAGCATGTCTAATCAAAGCAAGCAAACACTTAACATGCCTGAAGGACAAGCAACTTAGCTAGCAACTATTATTAACCCCAGCAAATAGAGAAAGAGGAGACCCAGGTCAGTGCTTGGAATAGGAAAAACAAATCAAGTCATTGTTTGAGTAGACACAGCTACATGCCATAAGCATTTTTCCCTTCTCTCATAAAAATTAAAATATATCTACTACAGGAAGATACAGATGATAAAATACTTCATCTGAGAAATATAGTGGAAGTTAAATGGAAAGATAGCATTAACAAGCCCATTAAATGCAAGGAAATGTTTAAAATAACAAACTTGCTCTCCTATAATGGGACCTTACCAATACCAATACGTTCCCCGATCTGAAGATCCTCCCATTGAATTTCACATTCTGCAACCTCCCTTGGCATTGGATTAATCTTCTCACTGTTACCATCGCCAGCAATATGCAGGTCACTTTTGGATGTCACTATTAATCCCATTTCAGATTCTTCATTGAAATCAGTGTTATCAGAAATCCTTTGTATCAGTCTATCTTCCACTACCCATGCATTTTCAGGCTGTCTTTTTGAGGGTGCATTCTTAGGATCAACATCAATACCCACAGCCTCAGCCTGCATTTGTTCATTAGTTACATTACCAATGAGCAGAAATCCATCACTTGTGATTTCAGTGGGCAAAGAAACATTAGATTCTGTGTCAGTTGCTTTTAACTCTCTTTGATGTTGACTTACTGGCTTTACTTTGGTACTCCAATCAAAACCATCTGACATCTCCAGTCCAGAGGATACAAAAGATGGATACTGGCTTGAAATTCCTTTTGCAGGATTGACTTGTTCAATCATATTTGATTCACCCAAATCCTGGGAATTTATATCCATGAACAAATCTGGGGGAGGTGATGCACCACTCTCTAACAAAACAGCATGTAACTTCTGTGCAAATTCAGGGTCCTTTGCTGCACTAATAACATATTTGGAAACATTTTTAACCTTCCTCTTTTGTGCAGATGATGGTTTTCCATTACTGCCAGATGAACCATCACCTGGTTTAGGTACCGATACTATCTTCCCCAACTCATTTTCAGATCTTCCAGCAAACCTTTTTCCTGAAAGGTTCCTCCCATCTTCATTGGTCTGATTGCCTCCCACTAGCACTTCCCCTAACCTCTGGGTTTCAACTTTAGGTACACAGTCTAGAATAGGTGAAACTGCCGTATTTCCAGGTCCTTTGCCATGCAACAAACTAGAATCTTGGGATGGACCAGTAAGATCCGCAAAGCATCTTACAAATGATCCTGAATTTGGTAGATGACAACTCGGCACCTCAGCCGGAATTAGTGTGCCAGGAGCACCCATCAGATCAATAATATACTCACTGCATCCATTCAGCAAATTTATTACATTATCAAAACTTGCATTCAAAAACACCTTACCCAACAATTTTGCCTTTTGAATTTGCAGAACTACATGAATCATAACATATCAAGACCAAAACAAAAGTTCTTAATTGAAGTATGAAGCGAATATAATTCCAAAGCTAGAGAATAAGGGGGAATTTAAAACAAATGAACTACAATATGAAAGTTAAAAGACACAAAAAATTTAAACTTGCATTACAGAATATAACATATGCTTTGCAAATGGAAGAAACCGAGCTAACCTAAAAAAATCATTGTGTTTCCACACATTATGCTCTAAAAATTAAATTGCACTCAAAATTTATTTTCATATAACACCAAATCAAGGAATAACTTCTTGTAACACAAAGCAAAAGGATGACATGCAAAAAATACTAAATACCCTAAACATAAATCCTGACAAGGAAATTACCTTTCATTATCAATTTTAATTAAATTCACAGCACCATCATCAGTGCCAGTGTAATAGCTCCCTTTGACCAGCATACAAGGGAGGTCAATCCTATCGGCCAGAACCTAGCAACAAAATCTTGAATTATTTTCTCAACAAAAAAAACAAAAAGGCAGAATTTTTTTTTAACTTGATGCAAGATGAACTTAGCCAAAAGCCAAAAGGTAACAAAACAAATTTCAACTAGAACAGCCATTATGAAAGTAGTTAATAAAATAATAAAATTTCAAAAAACTTGGGTTCCCCAAGCTATGTTTTAAGGACAACATACTTCCTTCCTGAACCATTTTAAGTATTTGGCAGATGAAAAGTCAAAAGAGTGGTTATAAGTTACAACCTTAAAAAGCAGGGCTCTGTGTCGTGAAATTCCAACATCAAGACGTCCAAGAGGAAGAATGATAGTATTAAGAGAATTCTGTAACTCTATACTTCTCAAGGTCCAAATTTTTGTCATCTCGTCAGCATCACTAACTGGGCCACCCATTTTCTTTACAACTATATCAGCAATTTTCTGGATCAAGCCACTTAAAGCTGCACCATGTCCAAAAGCTTGGTACTGCAAATATTCATTATACACTGTTTTCTCAAGCTCTTGCAGTTCAGGATCAAGCATCCGGTTCACCAAAATCACTTCATAGTCAACATTATCTAACACAGATACTGCTTGAAGATCCACCAATGATGGCATCTTCCCTTGGGCAGCCAAACTGGAGGTAATGCCACATACATCATAAAATCCATCCATAATTTTTTCATTATAATTTACAACATTATATGTCTGCAAAAAAAACATAAAAAGAAATTAGATTTTTCCTTTAAACAGAAAATTATGTATGGAAAGCTAAAGGGTTATGTCACCAGCACAACAGAAGACAGAAAGACCTGAGTAGTAAACTTTTTCAACCTAGATGCAACCACATAGGGAAAGCATAAGTAATAATTTCAATGACATCATGAAGTAATTCAGTACTGAAAAGTAAGGTCAATTAGTATGGTAGATACATAATCAAATAATCCGTTCACTAAAAAATAACAATGCATGATAAATGATTGTGTGAAAGTAATAGACCCATAATGCCAACAAATAAATAAATAAATAGAGAGAGAAAGAATCAGATTAGCTTCCTACCGATCAAGAAAAATAAGCCGACATGAAACGTAGAATCTTCATTACCTTAAAAAGAAAACAAAATGCCTAAGATGGTAAAAGATATTTTTCACATATTACCAAAATAATCCATCTAGCAAGTAAAATTTTGCCATAATACACTTACCAATATGTTATTAAGTAAAAATAAATAAAAATAATTAATGATTAAACGACAACTGATATACCGAATCACCATATTCAGCAAGGGTTCAATTATAGACAGCAAGACAATTCAAACTCCACATGCAAATCAAAATTCCCGTAAAGGAACACAATAATCAAGATCAACATTTACTAAGTTGCAACAGTTCAGCCCCGATCATGATAATTAAATTATAACCATACACAAGATGTAGGGTAGCCAACCTGAGAACAAAAATAATACTTCCCTCCCATAAGATTTCTCCCATGTCTAATGATGTGAAAACTATTGTATTCAACAAATCATTTCTAGAACTGCAATGGAAAACATGATAGAATCTGATATTGAAATGAGACCGGTATTTAGAACTTCAATTGAACACTAATCCAAGCATGAAATGTAAAAAGGAGAAAAAAAAAGCAACCTCAATTTGAACAGCATGCCCTTGGTATTGTGACACAAGCAATGAAATTAGTAATACCGCATTACAGAGACTTTAAAATAATGAAATTAAACAGAAAACGGGAGAAGTAACCTAAACAAAATGTGAACAAAATATATAACCAAAGAAAACAGCAATTCTCACCAACCAATATCCAAAGGGAGCCGTGAAATGCAATGCCCAAAATAGAAAACAAATTAAAATCCATAATCCCTAAAAGCTAAACAACATAATCGATGATGATTATTATCGAAACAAATCAACAACATCAAAAGCCTAACGACGAAAAACCTAATTAAATACCAATAAAGGATCTTAAGGAAAAAGAAAAAGGAAATTACCCAATAGCGAAGCGAAAAGAAATCAGCAAGGGCATCATTGCTGCTGCCGGCGAGGCTGATCCGCTTAGCAGCATCGATCTGAGCCGTTTCAGGCTCCGACGCACTGATCGCCAGCGCCAACTGCATCTGAAATTCCTCCTCCAAGAGACCAAAATCCACGCCAGCTCCAGCCGTCGGATCGCCCCCTACCGATTCACCCGCCCCGACTCTCCCCATTGCCATCGAATTACCAGAACCAGGAGACGCAGACGACGTCGTAGCCGTCATCGACGTCGAGGTCGCGTTCGGACCAGGACTGTCGATCAAAGGCCTAGCCTCCCCCAACCTCTGGTGCTCGTTGAATCCAACCCCAATATGGAGCTTCCTCAGCAGATGCTTCATTTTCGACATAGATCATCCACGGCGACTCTTTCTCCCTTCCCCTTATTTCCGTCCGATTACAGGTTTCTCCTCCTCCCCCTCTATCTACGACTTAGCCTACGCCCACCAAGAACAAAGCAGATTCGCTTAACCTACGCACTCTTCTTCGTCAAGCTACCACCAGTTGAGAGACTTAAATTAACCGCTCACCCATTCCCTCCAATACCACCACTACTCGGCTACTCCCCACCCCCTAAATAAAAACTACTGCTCCTAAGTCGTAACTATTCCCCTCTTGTGTCTTCTACCGTTTTTATACAGAAACTCCATTGACCCCACCAAAAACACCGTTAATATACGGTCGAACACATGGTTTTTCTCTTTGACTTGTTCTGATCTTCACCGTTGGCTGCGTCATGATGTTTTTTTTGATCCAGGATTATTTAGATCGGATGGTTTATGATTGTTTAAGTATGAGGTCACAATACAATGGCTCGTATTCATTTGAATGTTTTTCCTATGGTGGGACGGCGGAATTAGGTTTAGGAGGGGATGAAATGGAAGCGGCCGCCAATTGCATTAAACCTAGTATTAAACATTTCTTGCAAGCAAAATAAAAGGAAAATTAAGGACGTCTTGATATTGATATTAAAAGCGATAGAATGTATACTAATTTTTGATATTTTTAATGTTAAAATGTATTAATTTTTTTTCTTATTTACAATAATATGTAATATTATAATTATATAATTTAATAATATATTATTATATATTATTATATATTAAAATTATGGGAAATATGTGAAGTATTAATTAAAATTAACTATTTACATTTTCGAATACAATTATGGTATATATATTATGTAATTGTTATTAAATATTTTTAATGTTAAAATGTATTAATTTTTTTTTCTAATTACAATAATATTTAATATTATAATTATATAATTAATTTTTTATTATAAAAAATTATATTAAAATTATGAGAAATATGTAAAGTATTAATTAAAATTAATTATTTACATTAAAAATACAATTATGCAAAAAAAAGTGTTATATAAAGTATTTACAAACAAAGTCCAGTGTCCTATTGTGTTATAGCAGTAATTATAGTTTTTTTTTTTTTGTCTTCTATCTTTGAAAAATATATAAAATATACTAATATATTAGTAAAAATATATAAAAATAGTTGAAATTAATTAAAATTTTATAATTTTTAAATAAAATACTATATAAAAAAATATCTCTACAAAATATTATCAAACAAACATAAGTTTGATCACAATCAAAACGATTTAACGAAATTACGAGTAAAAAAGTTAAGAGATTTGAAAGGTCAATATTATTTAATTGATATTTAATTGTAAAATTAAATGAAAACACCAACAAAAATGATGATTTAACAGTTTACATAAAGATTCTGTAGACCAAATGATAAATAGGTATAAAGTTAATTAAAAGGACCCTTTTAAACATCTCTTGAATTTAATTACGGGTTAAATCAATTTAATAAAAAAAATGTAATAGGTCTCACCGATCAAATATTATTAATAATGAATTAAATAAAAATAATGATGAAAAAGGTTATTTAGAAATGTTTTACAAATCAAATGTTAAATGAGTACACATTTGAGATAAATCATTTCAAAATATAAAAAATTAAATAAAACGTATATCTTATAATAAAATATAAGCTACTTGGTATATCAATTTAAAATTAATAATTAAAAGTTTCACATAATTTAAATAAAAAAATCTAAATTAATAATAATAATA